CTGCACCCCTAGCCTGTGCCACAGTTCTGTATGCATAAATAAATACATCTTTAAAAAATAAAATAAAATTGTACTGTGATGAGCTATGTTTATATAAATATCTGCATTTCATTTTCCTTCTTGTTAGCTTGTATTCTAACAAATGGAATTAGTGGGTCACAGTTTAGCAATGTGTTTAATGCTTTTGCCACTTGCCATAAGTCATACTGTAACAGTTTATATTCTCTTCCCAATCAAAAGGAACAGTGCTCATGTCACAGCCACCTGCCAAAATTAAGCCTTATGTTTTAAATCATTTGTAATTCTGCAGACAAGAAATGTGATTTGAGTTCGCATTTTCTTCCTAACTAGTGAAATTGCATATACAGTCATATGATGATGTGCAATTGCATATTCTTTTAGGTAAACACTTTGGTTCATGCTGTTGTTTCCTTTGAAGAAATGGTAAATGTTTTTACTATTGATTTGTTTAAAATCCTTATACACAAGAGACAACTTTTCTTGTGTATTGCAAACATTTTCTCTCTGGGCCTTTTCCCTGTTCTTTTCCTACTAGCACAGAAACATGGTTTGACTTATCTGATTGGCAAGTTGACAGCTTTCGAGAAAACTAAACTGTGACTGTGCATATTTTAAAAGGAGTGGAAAGAAAAAGCAAATGTTTGGCTTGTTAAGGTTCTCACAGGCTACGAGTAATGAGGAGTATGAGATGGGGAAGGGGGCACAGAAAGAGCAATGCAGCAGGCTCCGCATCCCTGACGAAGGGGACCCCCCCTTTCCCAGTAATGGTGGGGTCTCTCTGAGAAGAATCTACAAGTGAGGAGGCTTGCAGATTGAACTGAGCACCTCTGAGGGAGAGAGGAGACCTGATTTTTCTGGGTAGAACTTCCTTGCTCAGCCTTCCTTGTGGACACTTTGCTGAAGGCTCATTCTCAGGGTGCCAGGCTGAGGGCGCCTACCTAAGGCCAGTGAGGCTCATGTCCACCCTTAAGTACAGCTCAGGCATCTGATTTATAGTGGCATCTGTGTACAATGAGGATTTTTTAATCATCCAGAATGGTCTGCCTCTGAGAAAGAACAACGAAGAAACCCAGTGGGAATACC